CACACACAAATATATTTCGTATTTTTAGTTATTGAGGTATTCAGTTAATGAGTTTTCTTTCTCCCCCCCCCATGAATAAAGACTTTTCAGACATACATTCCCCAGGTTTTTTATAACATAAGTCAAAAAACCTCTGTAATGCATTAAGAATATTAATCATGTTACAGATATTAAAAATTCAGAATATGCTAGAAATATTTCACAGCTATGTACAATACAGATACTATACTATACCTGCGCAGTGCTGTGCATGGGTGGACCAGGCAATCAAGGGGCCTGATGATGGGACTGATAAAAAGAGTTGATAATAGAAAATTGGAAACTAAATTAGAAATCGAGAATATCGTTATAGTGATTATGAAAGTCACAGTACAGTAGTTGATATTTCATAAAATTTTGAATTAATTTTTCACCTTAAATAGTTAATTACAGTCATTACGTAGGCCTCTACAAAATGAATTAAATGACGCTAACATTAAAATAGTGTCTACTGAAATTCATATTTATTATTTCTTGTAGTATTTAACAAGTTATATTATTAAATAAACTGAACACATTACTTAGTGTTTTCAGTTCACTGTGGAAATTGTATTATTTGATCACTAAATATTTTTATTTAAAATTATTATTTAATTTCGCAAAACTTTTTCTGGCTTAAACATAAATTTTGATATTTGTTGAAATAAAATAAATCTTACATGTATCTTCATAAAACATTCACACTTAATGTTTTTTCTTTTCCCGGAGCGGTAAACAGCTTTTTCCTTTTAAATAAGGGCACTTAATTTTTTTCTTTTTTCTTCTCGTATGTATCAAAAAACAGAAAGAAAAAAAAGGTGGGACCATTCCCATTTCTGGCAAATACGCTGAAGTTAGTTTCGAAAATTGCCAAATTTTAACAAATAAGAACTACAAAATTAAAGATAGAGATATTTGCTTTAACTAAAATAAAAAATCAGCTTGCTGAAAAAGGTCATGTACAATGTTTTTAAAATACTAGTAGTTTTCATATAATTTCTGCTTGAAATTAATGAAATAAATATGGGTGTCTCACATAAGTGTAGGCCACCATGTAGAGCAGTGGATATGACTTGATTTCTGGGAACATATGGAAATGGCCTGTTACAACATACATTCCTGTAACACGAGTGGGAGGAAAAAGTCATTTTGAATCATGAATTCAGGAAGTAACTTTGTAATTGCTATTAATGTTCCTTTTAAAGTGCCTTTTAGATTAATTTCAAACATCTATGATGTTATGTATTTAGGGATACAGTTGGCTTTTTAAGTCCATGTGCTTATTGTGTCTATTTGAAGGATGTGCTGGATTTGCAGGATTCGTTTGGGAGCGGCGGTGCCTCCAAAGGGCCTTGTTGAGTCTTCGGAGAGCGAGGAAGAAAGCGATGAAGATGAAACTCCAGAAAGAAAAGGTAAAGATAAGCAGTTGTACTTGGCTCTGAGCCAGTATTGCCCATGTCTGGGAGGCCCAGGGGCTCAGTCACAGTGATGGTGGATTGCCAACACTTGCTAGATGGCTGAGTGAAATTCAGCTGCTGGCTGGCTGCCTCTCCTATCAATGCCAGGCGAATGCTGGAGTGGTCTAGTATGGGCCCCTAAACACAAACGTTATATTGACAAGTGTTAAGTAATGCATGCAGGCCTTAATGAGCCCCTTCCTTCCTCTTCCTTTTCTAGTGCATTTACATACACAACCCTACTATATGTTGGGGACCAGTCAAGAGCTTAGAGCTTGTCCTAGCTGGAGCAGTGCTCCGCCGGGGATGTCCCTGGAGGAGCAATTCCCTGACAGCCGACGTGGCGTTTAGTGCTGAATCTCACCATCCAGAGAGAGAGGAACGTTCCAGGGATAGACCTCCAGGGATAAAACATTCACTACCCTAACGGTACTAACGACAGTTCATGTGTCCAGAAATGTCAATCAGTGAATTAATCTTTATGAAGTAGGGCGGATGTTGTTTGATGATGTTGATGTTTTGCGGATGTTCAATTTGACTGTTTTGCCACATTTTATACACTTTTTAGATATACAAAAGTCCATTATATCATAAAATTACTTACTTGAATTAACAGATAAAATGATTTCTATCATTGTATTCCTCAATGAATTAATCCTGTTAGTGAATTTTCGAAAGTAAAAAAAGGCAAGAAATATATTTCCTGATACTCTAAACCACAAACACATGATAGATGTAAATAATGAATGTGTTGTAAGTGTGTTGTAACTAGCATTAGAATGCAACCTTATATCCAGTGCTTGTGCTACCACTTCTATATCGAAACAATGCACAAAAGAACAAAACAAATGAAACTAACACACCAGACAAATTTTGAAACAACAATAAATTGTTTCAAAAGGGGGAAATTTGCCAGGTTTGTCAGCAAATACATTAAAAATTACCCTGGAGCCTTTAAAAATGTATTTCTCAATACAAGCATTTTTCTCTTAAAATCAGATCAAACATCAGATAGAAACTAGTTATCTCAAGCAACAGAACACAAAAAGTAAAACCTAGTGTAACTTGTATTTCTGTTGTAAATGTTGCATTTGTCTGCAGTTTTACAATAATGATGCACCATTTCTCTGATAAAACCAGCATCAATACCATGGTGTTCAAGATGTAACTAAAGAACAAATAAATTAGGCTCCAGGGTCAAACATATTCTAAGTAAAGCAATTAATTAAAAAGAAGTAGGTTTCAAAATGTACTATTCTTAAAACTAAAACTATTAAATATGACAAGATAACTACCTAACTAATTTACTGAAACCTACTTCTTTTCATAGAAGTTGTGACCCTCGCACAGAACTAATTTATCTTTACATGATCATAAAGACATTATAAAATTCTTGATACCTAGACTACAAGTGTTTCTTAATCTAATTTAAATGTTTGTAATAATAAAATATAAAAATAGAGGGATTTGTGATTACTCGGAATTATTTAATTAAAATAATTTGTTATATATTGGTGTTACATAGAGTTAATGTTATATTAACAAATACACGAGGAAGTAAATTTTTGGCGTATGTTTGTTAGAAAATGATATGTAATTTCAAAGGATAAATTGTTTAATTTAACTATGTATGGAAGTTACAGATTTCGGGCTTTACCTACCTGCATTTTGCCAATCATTAAATTCCAAGCTTACATGAATGAAAAAGTTCAGGGTGTTCTCTTTTCTATTTTATCTTTTTAATGCATTTGTCTGAATTACTACTACTAGCATATTAATTTTTCTTGTGAACAACACAAGTTGTGTTGCACAGGGCTTCTAGCAAAGCATAACATGTTGCAAACTTAAACCACTCATTAAGTGTGTTGTGCTCAGAGTTTGATTCCGAGCTGTAGCATTAATGTATAAAACTAAAAGATATCTGTTTAGCAGAGATTCCAGGGATTTCAAAAAAGGGGCCTGCACAATTGCCACGTAAGTCGACAAACACTGTCATTGTTTTGGATTGTATCTCATTACTGGCATTGTATAGGTATGCAGTAAACCCTCATTAACACAGATCAATTGCAGCTGGTGCCACGGCTGCTTCAAGTTGACAAAAATGTTGGTTATCCAGAGACAGAGAAAAGCAATAAAAAAAGAAAATGTTGTCACCAAACTTGTTTAATGGAGTTCAAAAGTTATCAGCCCGCTTTCACATAACACACCTTGTAATATGCATTTACATTGTACATGGGTACAAACTAGTGAGGGGCCCTCGGTAGCTAGGGGCATCACCTCCCCTTGCCCTTTCTTGTGTATGGTGGTCGTCACTAGAGGTATGGGAAGGGAAAGGCTCTCGACCGCTGGGAGGCAAATTCAAGTAACATACGTATTGAGAATAGCAATTGATCTGTAAATCAAAAGTTCATTTACTATACTTATCAACACACTAAAAAAAAAAATTAAAATAATAAAAACTGGTGCGAGATATCTTGACGTCCGGGTTAATGAGGTTTTACTGTAAAAGAATTAAGTGCTTGACCAACATTTTCCCAAATCAGTTTTGTAAAGTTATACAAAATTCTTGATTTATTCAGAAATGTCAAAAGTATGAAGCTATAGCATTACAATTTCTTAGGCGTGTCTCAGACAAGGGATATGTTATGTTAATGAATATTAAGAAAGCCAGATCCCTAAGGAATTCATTCACTATGGGAGGAGTGATGAAGAGCCCCTGTTTGTTTAAGGTTTCAAGATTTCCGACAATTCACATGAAAATTCGAATAAGGATTTGTGTCAAGCCAAAACTCATTGTGATAATTTTCATTTACATAGGAAACCAGTAAACTGATTTTACTATTTGTACAATTATCTTGTCTAGCATTGAATTATAAAAGTGTATATTTGTGTTATTTATAAACAGTGTACTTATTGTAACCCTATTATAATCAAAGGTTTAAGAAAAATAATTATATTCTGTATGCCAGAATTTAAAAAAACAAACAACTGCGTAAAGCATCAGAGAAGTGACAAGTGGGCTATGTGTGTCTTAATAGCAACGTAATCGTGGAGTGGTCTCCCAACAACCTTTGTCCTCTGTCCTTTCTGCTTCCCAATAGCGATTGCAAACTTCCACACAGTGCATCCTGTTGTCACATGGTCCAAGTAGCTGAAACAGGAAGCAGTAAGTATTTACTCAGCTTGCAGTGCAAGATACAAGAACTAAATGAGTTGGGGAGGAGGAAAGGGACGATGGCAATAACAATAGCAGGAGAGATGAGGGAAATCCAGCTGATGGGGTGAAGTTGAGTAGCCTTTGGGAATCCTAAATTTTCCTCTAGTTTAGCTGAAGGGGAAAGCAAACGTGTTGCTAAGAGGAATGTTGTGCAAGATGTTCTGTTCCAAATGCAATCTGACCTTACATGCTGCCTGTATTATTCCATCTACCGTAGCACCTCGTTAATCCGAACCCCACAAATTTGAAATTTTGGATTATTTAAACAAAATTGGTGATGGACGAAAAATGAACAAAATAAATAAAATACTTATTTCTAGTGCAAAGAAAGGATTTTCAAGTTACTGTAAAACTGAAGAACTCATTATTGAAATACAAGTTGTTGAAATGATATGTTATTTGCACTGGTAACTACAGTGTATATCACGTGTATGTAGCAGTAATTTTCAGTTGGAGGAATTTGCAAAATCTGTTATCTTCTTTGCCATAAGAAACTTAATCTGATGATGTGATGGTTATGTTATGTTGCCATTTTCTCACATTGCACGCTACGTTGCCTTGTCTAGTAATCCTATAAACATATTTATATATGTATGGTTGACTTTTCGGATAATCTGAACAGACCACAACCCCAATTTGTTTGAATTAATGAGGTTCTACTGCGTGTTAATGGATTTTTCCGATATTCCACTGAATTTTTTCAAAACTTGTTCATGTTGTAGCCAGTATTTTTTTCGCACATGACATACTAATTTTGGCACTGAGAATAAAATAAATCTATGCATTTCCTTACAAATGTATTTATAAAAACGTATTTTAGTGTTAATGTCAAATTTCATGTTGAAATGTAAACAATCTTGGGACTTGAAATGGGATGAGTTCATCTTCATAATATGTTCATCTTCCAAATGTTCGTAAATACAATTACTTTACGCAAAAACATATACAATTTACTGTTGTCTATTGTAAGTCACGTGTAATTTAATAAATATTGTTATTCCCATGTGTTTCAGCGCAAAGGAAGGTTTTTGAAAGTAAAAGGAAGGCGCACTACAACGAGTACTATGCAGTTAAATTAGCACGCAAACTTATGGAGTCTGAAGTGGAGGAGGAGGAGAATGAAATGGATGATGACTGTGATACTGAGAAGAACAATGTGAATGATAATTGTCTAGACTCTACAGAGGGAAATCATGTTGTTACTGTGCAAGAAAATAGGTCAGATGATAGTTCGTAGGTTTAAATTACATTTAGATGAGGAATGACAGGAATAAAAATAATATCTGAACATTTAAATGAAAGCATTATTCTTGAAAATTCTTTCATTGAGGAATGTCCGTGATGAATGCATAATTTTTTCAGTTGAATAGTACTTTCTTAGTAAGTAATTTTTGTATTAAGTCGCTGTAGAGCTTAATGAATATCCTGCATGTATATACCTGAGCAAAGCAGTTTCTTGTTTAGTTTAAAGAATTTGTTGGAATGTTGTGGAAGTGATTAATGGAGCAGCTACATCTGGCTTTTCAAAGGCCCTGTTAGGGTTTGGGTCTGTGGGCAAACAAATAATAGGACAATCAGTCTCTTAAGATGAATGGTGAAGAAAAAGTACACGCTCTGAATTTATCCATTTTCCATTTTTATTTAATATTGAGTATAATGACAAACAACTTGCTCTAAGGTAATAATTGTACATTGCAAAATGATTTTGCAGGTGTAAATGCAAAACATTTTGTGGTCATTGTGTAAGTAAAGAGGAGCTGACAGTTCATAGATTGCCTTAGAAGATGCAAAATATTGAAGACTGAGTTATTTCAATATTAGAAAATGTAAATTATTTTCAAAGTTGTATCATTTCTTATTTTATTCAATTTTAATTTTTATGCATGTAATGCACAGTGTGCTACAGATAGCTGTTGCTCCCATTGCATTTTCCATTGTTGTTTAGTAAGTGTTAAAATGTTTAGTTGAAAAAATTGTATTGTATAGGGTTGTACAAAACATGAATATTTTTAGGACCTCAAAAATAATGTGCAAAAAATAAAAGCTTATTTATTTATTTTTATTTATATTTTCATTGATTAAAGAATGGTAGCTATAAATATAAATTATAGGTAAGGTATTTACCTATATTTTGCTTATTTAAAAGCCATAATTAATTTCTACATGATGTATTGTCTATACCTCTATAACGTGTTGTAGGATGCATAAGTAATTTCTGTCATTGTTCTTCATGGTTTTATACATGTATTGTATGGAGTGGGAGAACATGGGAAACCCCCCAAAAGGATCTCTCAAATAAAGAATGCAGATACTGATTTTTCCAGATATTAGTGTATTCCATACCTTAACTTCAAACTACCTAGTTTATTAAATTGCCATTATGGTCTGTTTGCACATTCGTAATCAAAGAAATTATATCTAAATGTTAAAGTTGGAGAGTTTACCACTTGTTCCACTGTATTTTGAAGTGTGTGTGTACTTCAAATAGTGCCTATTACATTTTGCTAGTTCCTGTGAGGGATTTCTTGGAATTAATGTTTATAACTGGTATTATAATAGGTTTCCTACAATGGGACGTGTAACCGAATTCTCATTGATCCTCGTTTAGTGTCCTTTTTGAGGGATAAAATCTTCGATATATGAAAACTGGGGGGAGTAAGTCTGAAATCTCATCATGAATTACTTTCTTGTGAGATATTGATAAACATTGAAACAAATATGACATGCTGAGTTATGCACATTTCATGGAGTTATATCATATGGTTATATCATATGGTCAAATTAATTTGTTTCCCTTTTTCATGAACCTCAGTGTGTTTGTAAGTTTTACTGTCACGACTTATGCAAATCAAGCAATGACGAGAGAAAAAACGTACTTGATTTCAAAAAATTAAAAATGGTATAACATTCTAAAATGAAAATTGTTCCTTAAGAATTTATGAAAAGGAATGTTTCATTATTTGATATTACAAATGGGAGGAACTTGTATTTTAATGGTAAATTCGAGCAAAGGGATAGAAAGCCCTACATTTATATTATTTTGTACTGTATGATTAAGGCATATTGTGAAGTCTTCAGCAGCCAAATTGTTTGTTCATTATCATGTGCAATATCCTAAATTTGATTTTGTGTTCAATCAACATTTTGTCCATAACTGAGTAACTATCTGAATTGAATATAATGGATTAGAAATTTTGTTTTATCATGATCAACTGACGCATTCACCAAAACATTTGCATGCTCTTAATGGATGGCTTGGACTCTGTGTGGTGGTTGCACTGCTGTGATGGTTTTAACTACTTTGTTTCTAATATTCAGTTACTGTATTTGTCGTTTATTTTTTTCTGAATAAGGACACTACCATTTAAAATTTATTTATTTATTTTTATTTCATTTTTTTATAATGATGGACTCTCTAGTTATTTGTTGTAGCAGTTGGATGACCTTTTGTATGGAGAAGGATTAATGATTAGCTATATTTGTATATACTGACTTGACTTACTGATTGATTTGGGTTGGAGTTAGAGATTGACATTTGACTGACTCCACGGCCATAGAAAAAGGTGCAATATTTTCTTAATACTCATTTTATAGTATTGTACACTGCATTGATTAAAGGTGGAGTAAGCAATGACAGCTAATAGTAGTTGTGAATTATACTGATTCATGGTCAGGAGGAAATTGTTTTTTGATAAGAATTGTTAAATAGATTAAACATTAAAATTTAATATTTAAATAAAACCTTAGCAATATGTATATTCGCAATTTGATTCAGAGGATTATAATTATTAGCTAAATTATATGTGTGACTGTTGGAGAGCAATCCTATTACCCAAGTCTAATAAAGGGAGTAAACTTTAAATTATTTTAGGGAGACAGGGCTTTATTATAAAGAAATTTTATGTAATTGTAGCAATTGATGTTTGAAGTTTGTAAATTATTTTTTCTCTAGAAATGGCTTAAATATTAAACTAACCATTGTTGAAATTTTGTTTGCAGTTGTATGAAATTATTCTAGAATGGAATTTGTTCTTCTATCTGACAGTACTGTACTGTTGCCAAGAGCGCTAAAGCAAATTGCAGGCAAATTTCCTTAATTACCAGTGTTGGATTTTAAATTTTCATGTGACTTAGTATAAAATTAGTAATATATTGTGCTCAATTTTGCTCTATTTGTCTGTGCAGGTTTTAAGTGCATAAGTAAAATGTTAAGGAACATTACATAATAATGCATATATACACACACACGTTTTACCCACTGCATGGAAACTTGATGCTCAGGAATTTTTCTCAATTTCCCTAGAAGTAGTGTAATTTCTATCTATTCTAATGGTAAATATGCCATAAAATCTTCCATAATTACCTAGGAAGATATTTGATTATTGTGTAGTATCAAGATGTTCTTAATTTATAACATTATTTGGTCTTTTAAATGTGGACTTTCCGAGATCAACATTATTCCTACAGCTTCACTAATTTCAAAGATTGCTTATGCCAAAACTTTGTAAATTACGAACAACTAGCCACCTGCATGAAGAAAACAAGAATAGTGTACAAAATAATGGCTCAAATATTTAACCTTATTTATAAATTAGTGGTTATAGTTATTTTGGGGCAGAAAGATTTTTGTAAAACAGAAGTTGAAATATGGTTTTTGTATACTAGACTTAGTAATGGAAAAAGTGAATTTTTGTATGGTAGATTTATGCTTGTAAGGAAATTCCTTTTCCTACAGCTTCTCACTTGTAAATTTGTCGGTCTTCTTATCACAGACTAATGTTCTCCTGCTTGTAGTTCCTTTGTATTTATATTTACATACCTATGCTGATTGTTCAAATGTTTTATTAAATCTTCAATTTATGCAAATATGTTTTAATTGTAGGAAATGCATGTTGTAAACTTCAACATGCAAATAAAGCATTTCTACTTTTTTTCTCCTGTATAGTTAATTTCCTGACCTTAGATGTGGGTTTTATTGTATTTTATCAAACCTTCATAGATTCAAATTACCTTTTTCATGCTCTGCCTGCATGTCTGACTCTTTGAGTGTGGGTATAGTATTAGTGGTACGAGTAGTTTCTCTTCTTACTGATGTTTGCTTTTTAATTTTGCTTTGTTGGTGTAGTGAGATTCTTACTTTTTAAATCTTTCTTGCGGATCGTGATTGAATTGGAAGATTATTAATGTGCATGTGTTATGAAGATAAAATTTGAATGGGTATTTGCCATATTGGACATATGCAATAAAAGGCTTCTCTTGCAAGAATTCTTCAAAATATAGAACAAAGAATAGTGCCAAAACTCAATAAAAATTTCTTCTGAAGACCTTTCAAGAATTGTTATATGATAGTAATTACATTAATACAAATAGTCCTTGTCTTGGCCAACGTTTAATTTACACACAGCTTTCCTTAGCTTAGTTCTAATCATGATATTTGCGGACTAGGATTAGAGGCAGGGTTCCCAGTTGGCAGGTCTAACGATGGCTTACTTAAGCAATGTTTGTAATGTGGGTGAAAACTGTCTACTTGTACTACTCTTTGAACACTTTACCAGCGAATTAAGAGGTAATATGTAAAAAAATTATGTTGTGTAGAACAAATAATTCACAATTTAGGCAGAAAAGTTCAACATATTTTAAGTTTATTAATATAAATAAGTTGTATTGTTCAGATGTGAGTAAGCTTGCATATATAGCTGGTTTTATAATTTTCATTTTTCTTGGGGCAACATTTTAAAGTATTGTTGCTGTGTGAATATTCTGGGTTACATTATAAGTCTTGTTGGGTAAAATGGACAGAAGTGCCTCTATCTTGTTTGGAACCACTAAAGAAAGTGTTTAAGATCTGTTTCAACCCCCCTCCCTCCTTGCCTTTGTACCCAAAATCTTCCTTTTTTTTTTATTATTATTATTATTATTATTATTATTATTACTTTCATTTGTGCTGATAAGTTGAGATAAAAATGGTAACTAAGTTGCATATTTTCGGTTCCTTTGATTAATGGAATCTCTGAAGTCATGGAGTTTAGGTTTAATAAGTTTCAGATTATTTTATTTTTGAATAAGTCACAGAACTAGAGAAATGTATAGGAAAGTCCATCTTTGGACATAAATATTTTTTTTCTTTCTTAAAAGAACATTACATACTAAAGGGTGTGTTGTTAATAACCAAGGTTTTATCTTCTATCAAGCAAAAGGAATTGAGTAGACATATTTATCACAATCTTAACCTTGATTTATCTCAAATCACAGTTAGTAAATTTCACTTCAGTCCACCACCTGTAAAAAACTTGCTTCTGAATGCATTTACTCTCTTTACTCAATGAATTTCATATTTTAACTAAGGAGCAACTACTAAAAAATTAATTCAAACAAGACATAACGTGTGTATTGTGCCTATAATAGAATTGAACAAAATATTACTATATCGTTGTTGCATACAAATATTTAAAATGCGCAGTTCAGGGATGCTTCTTTAAGTTGTGATGAAAACTTTAAATTGCAGTTGTGAGATCTTTTGGAATGGTGGCATACACAGGAAAAGTTCAAAATGCAAGATATTGAATTCTCTTGGTATAATTAGCCAATTGCAACATATTGTTTACCTTCATCTACTTTAATTGTATTTCTGAATTCAGTAATTAAAATCATATCAAATATGGAAAAATATCATTGTGAACAAATTATTGTGTGGGCAATTAATCCAAATTACAAATACATAATTTGAATTAACATGACTGATCAAACAGCGACAACGTACTAAACTTTCACATCTTCAGGTGTACGTTTCTAATTAACAACAATCTTTCAACTGAAAATAATTCAAAATAAATGTAACTTCTTTCTCTGTGCACGTCTTTTAAAGTTCAGTGGGAAATAAAGTTATTCAAATTATTATTCTCCATGTTGTTACAGCAGAAGTACATTCCTTCACGAAGAACATGATGAGGGATAAGTGCCGAAATGTATAGTTGTTTTGCCCTTGAAAATAGGATTGTATCACATTAGAGTGAATATTTTATTAACATTTCTTGCCAAAAATGCTCATTTCTTTCAGTATTGAGAATTCAACATATATATAGTTGAGAGCAGGGATCCCAGAATTTAGAAAACAAGCACAAAATACACTTCTCCCCATAGCACTTCACACACAGTTTTTAACCGTGTCGTAAAATAAATGTTAAAAAAAATGCACAACTTTTACAGACACTAACAATACTGAACAAAACCTAGCTTGTATTACCCAACTCTAATTAAAGAACTATTGTGTTTCAATGTGATTTCAATATCAGAATGCATCAATTATTAAAAAATTCTTATTGTCCATGAACAAAGTGACTTGCTCCCAATTATACATTATACACAAGAAATGTCTGAACAATGTCACTCATGTTTCACAAAATTTAACCTATGTTTAATTTGGTCATGGCGAAGGAACTCTTTAAACAATTTATACATATTAGTTATGGGATTCTTAGCAGTGTTGTGGGCAGGACTATGATATGAAGGGGCATATGTTTGATCTTCAGATTGCTTTGGCAGACGCATTCCCAAGATTGACAATTTGCCCTTGGAGAAAGAAAGGAGTGAGTTTACCTTCATGAAAAAGCTGGGAACTGGTGTTGTATAAACATGGATTCAATTACATGACCATCCAGGAGAAAGTTATGTTTCCCACAGTAGTAATACTCTCCTTCCAAATTAAACGATACACTTTTTAGAACCATAATTTGTGACTTGTACTGTGTATTTTTAATTTAAAGAAAAAAATTCTCAAGTCAGAAAATTATTTAAATGTATAGAAATTATTTTTGATGTATAGAAACATTTTATACAGAATTTTGAAGGGACCAAAAAAATAATTCGATTTATAGGTTTTTGATGTTAGAGGTCCGACAATATAAGTCAGATTGAGGTAATTTTCAAAACTATTAGCATATGTATTGAGTACATTTTTTAGAGGTATATCATCGCTTTGACCTGGAATAAGATAATCCCATTACCTACTGGGCCTTAAAATAGCGGAGATAAGTTAATGATTGTCTTGGGAAGTATTTTTTTGATCCCCATTAATGATCATTTAAATGTAATTTTTTTTCTTCATCTAGGGAGCTTATAAGTGGATGGTGGGTTCATTACAACTGGCTGGGAGAAGGGTCTTCGATTGTAGTAAGGAAAAGACGAATGAAGGGCTCTAAGTATTGCTTTTACCTACCTGCAGTGCTTTAGAGGAGGAACTACAGAATTTAAAATATACAAATTTGCAGATACCTATTATTTATTATTCTATTTTTTTTAATAATTATAATTGTTGACGTTTTCTCATTCAACTGCAATTTTGGATGCTGTCCATCCACAATATGTAACCATCTGAAAAAGAAAAAAATAAATTTACTGGATATGGATTTACATTGTGAGATGAACAGGATAGAAATGTTGCAATTTCTTTTTGGTTTTAATTTTCAGCAATCTGAAGTGATATTAGTGATTATCAGACATGAATTAAGCAATAAAACTAAAGACGTGAATCACATGACAAACTTGGGTAATCTGCTGAACAAAACTTCAAAATTGATATATGCACTAAAAATATCTATTACAAAAATAATATAAAGTAGAAATCTTTGGCCTACATTGATGAGATGCACATACTGTAGCTACATGTTGGAACTTGTCAAACATTGTTCACAGAAGGATGGAAATGCATTCTCATCTGTGACGAGATATCTTTCAAATGAATGGTAAGCAGTTTTGTTCATGTGAAGGACCAAGCTTAGGTGGTCATGACACGACAGCATTTGTCATATTAGTTCACTTCTATTTTTAGTAGAAAACTTCCCTATGCTACGAGTCTTCTTTCCACTGCCTGTATGTACTTTGATTAAGTCTTCCCTGAGTAACTCCTTTCTCGGCCATTGGTGCATCAACACACCTAGTAATTTCACACTACCTTTATGAATAAAAAATATAAATGAATTGTTCAGATTTCTCAAAATAACTTTTTTTCTTCGAAAGGTTACTTTTGTGGCAAAGGAGCTTCTTTCTAGATTTGTCCATTTTGAAATTATGAATATTTGAATTTCTGTTAAAAATTGTACAATATTGTAACCGCTTAATAAACCACTTAAACAAATGTCTCTGATAATACTTCAAATTACATTATAAAATTGAATATACTTGCAAAGAAAATGAAAATGTAAATTATTTATGAAAATATTTTCTTTGGTGTATTTATGCACCTCTAGCCGTTAATGGGGTCATTGTATAGTCTCCATGCAAAGAGCAAACACTGAACCTAATTTAAAATACTATAGATCATTAATAAAAAAATTGTAATCCCAAATGGGAGCTTTGTTTACCCTTAAGTTTAATGTAGTTCTTCAGGAAACCATTGTTGATTACCTTCATTTTCTTTTTTATTGATCCTTGTTTGACAAAACATTCTTTTAAAGGTATGAACAATTACAATAATGTAAACAGAATGAGGTGAAACTTAAAAGTAACCTCTAACATGCTACTGACACACGCAATTATTTTAGTTTAATTTTTGAGTTTAATTATGTTCATGAAACTATATAAGAGTTATAAATAGAAAATAAAACATGAACATTTATACAATAAATAAAAAGATTCAAAGAGAGGGAAGGTAAAAATGGAGGATTAAGAGATCCTTTGAGTATCATGATTTAAGTTGTGGAAAAGAATAGACAGTTTCTCCAAGTTGAAAAGAAGTATATGCCAGAGAAGAAGGAAGATTATCTGAAACAAAAGATGGCAATTTCTATCTGAGTAGTGTTAACTGTATTGCGAGCTTTACTGACGTCACTCTAAATATCTACCTGACATTTCTTCTCAAGTGAGTCACGATATAAGGAATATATGCTAAATTAGCATTGAACTCCTACTATTAAACCAAATTGCTAAATGGAACATTTAATTTGTAAGTTAAGCACACTCAAAAGAATTTTAGTAATGTACTTACTATTGAAATAAGTTGGTAGTTAGCAATATTATTTTTGTCTCCTGTTTTGAAAATAGGTATTAAACAGATGATTTCCGGTCCAATGAAAATTATTCTTCTACTAATGATTTCTCAATTAGTATTTTCAATGTTTGAGAAAAAATGTAATTACCTCGTAAAAATAATTAGACCAGGGGACTTTGAAAACAAAATTCAAAAGAATAAAAACGGACAATAAAAATATTTTGGAAAGTATATGAATACAGAGAGAAGGAGAATATACAAATTAACTGCAAAGTCAGCATTAATGTTTGGATCAGAAACCTGGACCATGACAACTAAAGACCTACAAGGATTGGAAGCAGTTTTGATGATTCAAAAACTAGTAACAAAACTAGGCAGACTCGTAAAAGAAGAGATCGGAAAAAGATGTGCAGATATATAATAATATCAAGTATCAAAGAAAATTGCTGAAACGTGGAAAAAAAAAGAGGCTACCAAAACTAGCGCTGAAGTACTGACCTCTAAGTAGAAGAGATGGGAGACAACAGGAACTTCTGATGGAATAACTAACAGGCCTACTGCACAGGGGTCAGGGTACACTCCCCAATAGTTCATGAAGAGAGGACATGAGACAAAATTATGTTAGATTTGTTTAAAAAATTGAAGCAGTTCTTTAGACAATCAATTACAAAGTACTATCTTACAGATAGTGGCTACAACATGTTGAAAGAACAGAAGAGACGGTCATACCTAAGAAGGCATTTATGTATAGACCACAAGGTAGGCGAGACTGAAGTAGACTGTTGAGGAAATGGAATTTTTAGAAGCTAGAACAAGTTACAGACCTATCCTTGAAGTGGTGTAGAAGAAGAAAATTGAAGGTGATAGGACCAGCTCTTCTATTAATATCTAATTTACGTTGCTAAAAGTATCCAAGATAGATATATTTGTACTTAAGTTACATGGAGTTTA